CCTGAAATTATATTTTTATTTCATGTGGAGTGTTTTTTCCCAGCTTTTCTGCTGTTTTCCAACTGGAAGAGCCGTATGCTTTCAGCTGAGCAGTGCAGGAAGAGGGTTCGCCTGGTGCAGAACTTGCCCCACACCGCACACTAGTGTTCCTCTGCACCTCCCACCTTCTCCCATCCTTCTTTCATAATCCTTATAGTGCAAAAGCCTCAGAACGAGTGCGGCAGCCGCTTCAGAGAGTCTGAAACCATCACTGCATCACTTCCCGGTTCAGCTCCAACCTCCACCTTAATGTGGCACAAAACCACGTGAAATTCCTCAAAGTCACTTTGTGGGGTTGTTACATCCCGTCATTCCCACTGCTGGTGCTGGTGCCTCCTCCCCTCATCCTCTGCATCCCACTGAGGCAGGGGATTCTCATGGCATTTCCTTCTGTCCAACACACACGTAAATCAGCACTGCCTTAGAACTTCAAATTACATGTAGCTTTAGTTAATTAAATGTAAAATCATTGGAATAAAATTATCCTTTCATTAGAAATTAACTCACTGCTTAAGACTTCAATAATTACTTTTTTCTTCCCAAACCACATACAAAACGGTCAGTTAAACAGTATGTAAGGGGAAAAAAAATAGTTTAATGACCGCATAGCAATCAAGATTACTATTATTTAAGCACAAGCTATTAACATGTGCAATGAGGTATTAGCTAATAAATTATCTTTATAAAATTAAATTGTAATTTTATCACAAATTTCACAGAGGTTATGGTTTTTAATGGCTGTATTTAGCTGTGGCACTGAGCATGCCGCTTTCCTTCATTACTTCATTAACACTTTGCATTTATACTCTTTCTTATTATTATTTTAATTTAGGCACCGGATTAAGTGATTTATTCCTTGTCTCTGTGGGGAGCCCCTTGGACTCTGCACAAGGGCTGGGTGTCCACCCTAGATCCAAGCCTGGGGACAGCTTGTGCCCTTGCTTTGCTTTCATATGGAGAGGAGTGCTTGGCTGCTGCAAGGAATTTGTCCCCATCCTTGGCCCTCCTGAGCCACAGGTCACCCAACCTGGGTGCGCAGTATGGCAAGCCCAAGGATGGAGAATAAGCCCATCCGGAGCTCTGCCATCATTCCAGCTCCATGGCCAGAGCCATCCCTTCTCTCCTGTGTGACAGAGCTCTGTTATAAACTTCCTCAGCGAGCTCCCTGCAGACAGATATCCTTGAGACTCACCTCCATCTCCCTCTCAGGTCACAGGGAGATTTAGAGATGGGGAGCTGTAGTTAAGGTCCAGATCTGCTATCTGAACTTGAGTGATGGAGGACACATTCCCGGGACATGTTTATTGTCACCTGGCGGCCCGCAATCCCGCTCTCGCGGAGCCACCTCCATTCCCTATATAATTCATGGTCTGACTCCGTGGTGGAGTGACTGATAAGACCTTCACGCCGGGCTTGCCGGCCACATGTCTCAAGGAGACTCCAGAGGAGCTTCTGCACAATATAAATGTGGCTCCGTGTCAGCCTCAAACCCCTGGAAAATTCCCCGTCTCGAGAGTGCAGCATTTTAAGTAATAAAACCATAGAGAGATTACAACAAAATGTGACAGGAATTTATAGCCCTCTGCATGAACCTTTTACCTTAAGATGGAACAAAGTTGAGGGGAAAAAATTGCGTGGTTCACTTAGGTAACCTTTCCAACAAGCTCTCCTCAGCTCCTGGCCCCACATTCCTCTCTGCTGATTTACAGCAGGAAAGAAACAGGCTTACAGAGAGCCGGGAAGCAGGGAGCGCACCAGCTTTTGTTGCTTTAACCCTCGTTGTTTCCTCCTGATACACAATGATTTTAGAGCAAAAGTGAGGCACTGCCAGACCCCAAAGTTGTACTGGAGGCTGGCTTTTCCCTTGAGAGACACCAAAACTCCTATAGAATCTATAATTTCTAAGGAAAATAAGGGCTAAGCAAGGGTTTCTGCGAACACCCATACCGTAATGACACGGGCTATGCCTCTAAGTGCTACATCCCTTCATTCTAGGAGGTGTGTATTTTTATTGCCCGTGAAAGGGTCATGTAGCATAGCTAAGCAGATTCCTGGCCCTCCCTGATACTGGATTTACTGCCACTTTCAGCAATAAACAGTGGAATTAATCCTGAGTTTACTAATCCAAAGAGTAAACAATATCCAGTGGAGACACTCAGGCAAGATAAATGCAAGGGAGTTAAAAGCAAACAGAATGAAATCATTCTGCTCCAAGCTAAGGAGTCATTTGAGGAGCATGAAGCCTCCACATACAGTATTATCAAATTGTTAATAAACGTTTCCAAAGTCTGTAATATGGGGAAGCTTTTCCTTCTAATTCATCAGGAAAGGGGGCTTTTATAAATGAAGCATTCTTGGTGCCGGGCAGTAATTTCATATCATACAATCTGTCAGTTAAGGTAGTATTAGTGGGAAGGACTGATCATAGCTGCTGATACAAGTTTAAGACTTAGGAGACTAATTTCCTGTTATTTATGTAAAGCACTTAACTTTTTAAAATTCCCTGAAACGGCCTATGGAAATAAATAAATTCTGAGATAGTTTCTCCTCAGATGTTCCAATGCTTTACGAATTATTTATGCTGTATTTGCAAAGCCCAAGGAAGACTCAGGAGCCATTGCAGCGCCTCTGCTCTCAGCTTGGGCTTCCCATCGTAAACAGCTTATGAACAGTTCTGGGCTGCACGTGCTGTATCATCGCTGGCTCATTAAGGAGTTTCAACTATTCAATCCCCGCAGGGCTCTCTGGTACTTTTAATTCACAGTTGTCCATTACAGAACTGTTCCTGGAGGCTGCCCACCAAGGGGAAGCTCCTGTGGAGTGCTGTGGATGCTGCAAACCCCCTTGGAGGAGCCCAGAACTTCACACCGTGTCTTGCCTCTCTGTGGCATCAATCCTTCCCATAATACAGCGTCCTACAGCATCAGCCCCCACCAGCCAGAGTCCAAACACTCCTGTGCCCAAAGGCTTCCCAGGCTGGCTGGGCTAGGGGATCGGAGAAGACACTTGCAAGTGCATAGAGAGGAGACCTGGTGTACTGGGAATGGCAGACATGGCCATGTCTGAGAAGGGTCACTGGTCCCAGACCAGGCTGAGCACATGGCCAGGAAACACTGCTCCATCCAAGGGCTTCTGCGTGCCAGGAGAGCACTCAGCTATTCCCCACCCATGCTGAAAAGCAGCAGCAAGAGGCATTGCATAGGGCCCCCTGTCACTGTGCAAAGCCTGGGGCCAAATCTCAGAGGAGAAATGAAAGTTAACTGTGCCAAAGGGTGTGTTTCTCTGTTGCTTGTTAAACGCTGAATGCCGGAGCTGTGCATGGACCTAGACAGTACTTGCATTGCAAGAAGAGGGCAAAGCCCCATGAGAATAAAGGGAGAAGGGGCAGACAATCCTGTAAGGTGCATGTCCCAGAGTACAATAATAAGATAAAATAATTAGTCCCACTAGTAGATGATCTTAAGGTCCTTTCTAACACTGACTATTCTGTGATTCTATAAAGAGAGAAACCCTGCACTGAGTGGGGAAGTGAAACCACGTCTCAGCCCTAGAAAGGTCTGAGGCCCCTTAGAAGTGCAGTGAGGACAGAACTGCATCCTATTTATATGAAGTAACAACTTCTATCTCCAGTGTAAGAAAACCAACACCTTCAGCAGCACTGCATTCCCATACAGTATTTTTGTACATATTTTATGTTATCTTGGGTCATTGCTGTTCCTGTTAAATAATTAAAGGCAGTGAATGTGTTATTTACTGTCCATTTAGTGCACCAGACCCATAGCTTCACTTTGATTTTTGGCCCAGAAGGAGCCGTGACATGGCCCTGGAGAATACTTGCGCAGCGCTAATTAGAGTGGCCCAGTGCAAACCTGCACCACTGCTTTTATTTGTGAGTCAGAAATAGCACTTGATTGCTAATTTTATTGGTTAATAAATTTTCAAAGTATTAATTTATATTTTCCTAGATGGGGTTTTATAGCCACCAGGTACAGCAGAGGAAAGTCCAACTGCTTCCAGGGACCATTTTAATAGCAGCACCTACTCTGTGTATAAATCAACTGGAGTGATACAAGAGCACACCAAACCAGGCTGGGGAGCACGATACAGCTAGTCAGTCATTAGGATGGACACTGGTTGCTCCTGTCCCATGGTCCCTCAGGACCTTCCTATAGAAGAATGTTTTAGTTTGTCACATTCATTCAAGAATAAGTTGGTTCAGTAAAGAAAAGAGTACAAATTATCAGCCCTTCAAAGCTTTCCCATTTAACCACTTTATTGCAATACAACTGCCCATAACATTTGCTTTTAAAGCCCATGATGCTGAGTGTAGTTATTACATTGCATACATAAAAGATGTTTACAATTTTTTATATATATGTAAAATGTTGATCCCCTGGGCCACATTGATTTGTGCTGGCTTCACGGCTGGGTTGGTGCGGGAATTTCCCAAAGAGATGTGATTAGGCTGCAGGGAACTTTCATTCTTTTTTCCTTTTTTAATCTCCTGCTTACCAATTTAAAGGGCCTATCTCGTATTCCATTTATGTCAAGATTTCCAGGCGGTCTCAGGGTATTCTGAGCTGGGGAGCACATGATACACACAGGCTCTCATGCTTCGTTTTCAAAGCGCATCCTGGCTGTAGATGAAGCTGGGTTGATTTATGAGTTCTGTGTTGTGTCTATAGTTGAAAACAGAACTGGGACAAATGCATTAATTATCACCCTGTCTGCAGTCGTGAAGAGGCAGCAGGGCAGGAAGCAGGGCAGCTATCCTAACTGCTCTTTGGGGTTATCTTTCTTCTCTTGTTGCTCTAGGAACTACCTGGACTTCTCCCCAAGTGATGCCCATGACCAGTCTCCATGGTGCAGCTGTACCACATCAACTGGCATCAACCTCCCACCACAAACACCTCTACAAGCACACTGTAAAGAGAAGTCACTCGTTCCTTGTCCCTATGCCATGAGGCACCTGTGAGTGGAGTGCTGGAAAGGTCTGAGCCTGCAGAGGATTTTGTAAGACGTTTCCATTTTTGTAAAGCAGAGACATAAGCAACTGAAAGGACAACTAATTTCCCAGTGATTTGTTTCATAACGAGCAGCGGGTTGTAATTAAGATGGTATTCATTTAAAAGAAATTAGCAGAGAAGGGAAAAAAAGTGTTTTACAGTTTCAATCTTCAAACTTTGACAAGCTCATTTTTACAGTAAAATGATAGTGGGGAGTAATGTTAAAGATTTCTCATCAAAACCCATGTTAAAATGAACAAACTCCAAGGAAGTGGAAAGTATCCAGAGTTTCAATGGTGGGTCTGTAGAGAAGACCTGAGTAGGTCTGGGTGGAAAGATGAAGGCTTATAACCTGCAGGATGTGTACTGCTTCCATCCCAGCTCTGAGAGTGCAGTGGGTGCAGTGGGCAGCTGTGTCAATCGGCTGTTCTGGGGATGGTAGCATATCTCTATGCGTAAGGAGACAAATTTGCAGTCTATTTACATATTCACTGTGTCTCATCTTGGAGCTGATTGGAGAGAAAATAGAAGGCCACAGATATTCACTGCATTTAAGAGGAAGAAAAAATGAACACAACAGCAATATTTGCCCTGTTTCCCCTTTGTGGAAGAAGAGCAGAGCAGTTTTATCTGTATATTATACATTTTTAAAAGACTCTAAGTGTAATCCAGGATATTAAACACCATTCAGCTTTGCACAGGTATCTGGCAAAATGGTTTAAACATTTATTAAATATAGAATGATAAAATACCTTGAAGATCACTTCCAATCAACACAGTTTCTGCTGTGGAAAATCATGTCTCATTAATCTGTTAGAATACTTTGAACCTACCAATATATAAATGGATAAAAGAGAATATCTTGACATATTTTTAGACTTTCAAAAGGCTTTTAATGAGGTCTTCCCACAGGATTTCTTAGGAAACAAGATAAAAATGGGGGTAAGAGATACAGTAGCATTATGAATCAATAAGATGGACTAAGAGGAAGGAAACAAAAGTGGTAGATAGTGTTTTATTAATCAATGTAAAGGGTCACTAGCAGCGTGCTACATGGCTACACACTCAATCTAATGACATTAATATACTAATTACTGACCTGGAAAAGGAAACAGTTGTGTAGATTAGTTAAGTTCAGAAAAGATGAAAGAAATTCAAAGGAATTTGGCCATACAAAAGAATGAATGATGTGATAGCTAGTGAAGGCTGATGTTGATAAATATGAATACTCTGAAACCCAGAACTTCCCCAGCATATAACCAGTTGATTTGGAAAGCTGGTCATTGCTGAGACCTCGAACAACATCTTCAAAGCCAAATGGCAAAAAGGAGGTCAGGGGCTCCAAGGAATGAGAATGGGAAGAGCAGAGAAAGCATGAAGAGTGTGAAACCATTGCTGGTGTTCCCAGGAGAGGCTACAACAGGGGCTGCCCTCGCTCCCCTTCCCAGCATGGGAGCAAGGGACATGGACAGGAGATGAAAGGCAGAAGTTCAGAGTATAAGGAGCGACATTCTTGCATGAGGTGGAGTGATGCTCCTGGCAGAGAAGACGATGAAAGGCCTAAGCTAAATACTGGTGGCCAAGAGAAGGCTGTGGTGAGGGGAATCCCTTTATATCTGACAGTCAGAAATCACTTCTGTGTTACCTAAGAAGGAACTGCTTTGGGTAAGAGGAGGCTGTTGCAGTGATGCTTGAACATTGTGGCTCAAAGTATGCAAACACATACACTGCCTGCACATGCACCAGCGCTCGCAGTTTATCCATACATTTAAAGATTGATAAGGGGAACTGGGGGGGTTTAGCCTTGAGAAAAGGGGAGACCTTATCGCTCTTTATAACTACCTGAAACAGGATTGTAGTGAGGTCAGGGTCAGTCTCTTCTCCCAGCTAACAAGTGATAGGATGAGAGGAAACAGCCTCAAGCTGTGGCAGGGGGAGTTTAGACTGGATATTGGGAGCAATTTCTTCCCCAAAGGGATTGTCAAGCACGGCAACAGGCTACCCAGGGTAAGTGGTGGAGTCACCATCCCCGGAGGTGTTTACAAGACATGTAGATGCGGTGCTTAGGGACACGGTTTAGTGCTGGACTTGTCAGTGCTGGCTTATCAGTTGGACTTGATAAACTTAAAAGTCTTTCCTAACCTAAACGATTCTATGATTCTCTGTTCAGTTTTCTAGATAGCTTCTCTTATTGCTGTTCTGGAAATCCATTCCAATTAGATACCAATATCCGGGCTTCCAATCCAAGCAGCAGGATGCAGTGCAGAGGTGACACTGAGTGGTCCCTGCAGGTGCAGTCTTATAAGCATGGCTTACCTCCACAGGCATTTTCTAATAATCATACTTCTCATGAAGCTCTACTTTCAGTGCCTCCAAATTAGATCTCAGCACTTAAAAACAAAACAAAGAAAAAAGGTAAAAGGAGGAAAATCAACGGGCTCAGTGCAAATCCCAGTTCCACCTTGCTTGCACAGTTGCTGCTGCTGTCCTTCCCTTGTGTCGTGCTGGGGTCTTACTCCTCTCTCCTAAATCACCATATTCACAGCGGGGGCACCTGCCCTGCTGCCCTTCATTGCTCCTATGCAATAGCTGCAGGCTGCATGCACAGATTGAATGTGTGGTGGGAGCAGCAGCTTTTTGCCCTTCTGCAGCCCAATGGGGGCTGTTTGGAGAACAGACCCACAGCAGCATCCACAGCACACAGGAGCACTGTGCCCGGTACCGATCCCAGCATCCTGGAGGGGCCTTGCTGCAAACTGCTGCTGCATTTGGAGAGCTCGGGCAGCTTAATTGTCTTGTTAAATATAAATGAGCTGGTGATGTCTTCAAACTGGAAGAGTGTGGAAAAGCCATTGCGAAGGGGATAATACCAGTGGTATTTAAAAATTAAAATGTGCTGCAGCCAATCGTAGAAGCAGCAGCATTTGTCCTTTGGAGTCTGACTTTGATAGTCACTCATGGATGCTATAAACACAGACTGTGCTTGCAGCTAAGCAATAAAGTGACTGGGGCATTTCTTTTTACTTTATACACCACCGTATTGATTTTGTAGTTTATTTTTTTTCTTGGAGGAGAAACTAAGGTATTGCAGTTTCATTTAGGTACTGCATTATAATTTCCCCGATGATTTTGCCAAATGTTCCTGAAGGAGAACACCTTCTCACAGTGAGTAGGATTCAAAGACACAGAGCCGACTAATCCATACCTAATTGGATGAAATCGTTATGCACTTTCCCTCCTTTTGGAGTTTTTTTCAGAGTTCCTGGTTCCTTAGGGATCCTAAAAGCCACTGAAGAGGTTATTATAGTATGTCCTCAGGGATGTTTAATACCCTAGCCCTGTTCAGACATGCAAATAATCTAATTCAAAAGCTTCCTAATTAGCAAGCCAGCTACAGTTCTGGATAAGGGGAGAGAGAGAGGGAGAGAGAGAGATCTAAAAGGACTGTGCTTTTTCCTTTTATAGGCTGCTATTGTGCAAAAGGCAGCATAATGGATAAAAAGTAATTGTTCTGATTTTAATTGCGATCCACTATTTATAGTTTTGTTCTGTCATCTGAATAATGAGGGGATTTTGTTCATACAGCTCACGCTAAACACACTGCAACTTAGTTTACACAGAATGCAGCAAGCGCCTGGCGTTTCCTCTTGGAAGCACAATCTTGCAGAGCAGAGATGGTCCAAGGAAAAGATGTTAAGCTAGTTAATGAATTAGCCATTTAATTAACATAATTAGGGATAATTATTTTCTTTTAATCTATTGCCAATTTTAGGACAATTAAACTAAACAATGGTGAAGCAGATCACTGAGGGTCCTGTGCAATCCTAGTGGATGTTCTTGCCCCAAATGGAACATTATTAAATAGTGGGGATATGAAGGTGGACAAACATGAGGACAAGCGGAGAGCCTGGCCCTAGTTTTGCACCAACCAGTGTCACTGGATGGGTGTCTGGTCTGCTTCTGTGCTTTGCCTGTCCAGCTCTGCTGCTCTCCATCACACTGGGATATCTCCTGAGCAAGGCCAGTGAAGAGCTTGGATAATTCCTTCTGCCAAATAAAGATGTTTATTATGAGGTAACAAAGCATTTCTCTGGTGTTGGGGCTTTATGCTCCGAATAGAAAACAAACCAAACCAGATGGCCCCCTTGTCCCGTCAAAAAAAAGGGAAAACTTGCTGGAAACAGTAATGTCTGAATAACTAATGAGCAAAAATGTACTATTTTTTTTAATAGTGGACTGCATTAAGTAACTCATATATAGACGTAATGACAAGATCTGTCTATAGGTACCTAAAGTTCAGTAGCTTCCTTTTTCCTCCAATGCTTTCTCAGGAGCATTCAAAGTTTTGCCAAGCCCACCCCTCCAAGTGATGCTCACTCCACTGCACGTGGCACTGCCTAGTCAGGTCATTATCCCATTAGATTCCCACACAGCACCTGCTCAATTGGAGCCTCGTGCGCTAGCAATTAATATGTTATGCCCTCATTAATTAGCAGGGTTAATTATGATTGCTGTTGCTTAAACCTACGTAGAGAGAGATGGCATCATGTTGCTGTGACTTGTGATGCTGAGGATGCACCCTTGGGAATTGGGACCAGTGCATGTTAGCTGCAGGCCATCCCCATGGGATGTGCTAGCTTGTTCCTGAAGTGGTGTGAGCTTGGGAGTCCTGTCCCTGCTTGCTCCAATTAGCACTTCCCTAAAGGGTGGCACCTCCCAGCTCTGTGCTGAGGGAAAAAACCCAAGCAGGTGATTCTACAGGCACTGAAGGGACTGTGGACTCCTGTGTATTTGTCCACACTTTATCCAGTGCAACTTTAAAGCAAGTTACTTCTCACATAAGAGTGCAATTGCCAAACTGGTGCTAACCCAAGCTTGACAGATGCTCTGGGCTTTCACAGTGGCTTTTCACAGACAGATGCTCTGGCCAGCTTTCACAGGCATCGGTGATGGTGCCCGCATGCAGAGCAATAGTAATCAGGGTACCACTTCAGCCCGAGCAGAGAGACCCGGACAAGAGCAGAGCAGTTGCAGGGGCATGGAGCACCCCAAGAGGAATTCCTCAGCTCCGCAGTCACAAAAGCTGGTGAGCAGAGCAGGGTAGGCTCAAATCCAGCACAAGGCTGAGCACCACCAGTTTCCTGTTAAGCTTTTGATTTGCCTGTGTGTGAAATAGTGAGACTTGGGGCCTTTTTGGCAGTTGTGAGTGAGAGATGACCACCCTTCTCACTGACTTATCCTTTTGAAGCTATCATCACTCATTCCTCTTGGGAAGAGAATGTGAGGCACTGGTAAATAATATAGGGTTGTGTATTTCTTTATCTCCCATAGTGTGTTGTCTCCTACATGCTGTTGCGTTCTAACAACATCCATCAAGACAAATGCATACCTGAGAACAGCTTCCCTCAAACCTCAGAAATCTTTTTCTGAGGTCACAAACTACACAGAACAGACAAAGAAGAAACAAGAAGGAAATTGCACCAACAATTAAACATTTTTTTTCCGGAGACATAGAGGACTCCCCTTGTCTGCAGAAGGCAAGCACCAAAATAAGAATGCCACATCTCAAACACAAGGCAATCTATTATTCTCAGAGCAGTAACATGATACATTATCAGCCACCTTATCCTAGCAAAATGTATCATTACCTGCACTTTCTGCACTTTCCAGATCAATCCACTTTAAAAATGTAGTAATATAGAAGGGTATTAGGTACTAGAAAACTCATTATGAAAATGGCGCACTCAAATTCTTTAAAGGTGATATTTCATAAAATATACTATGCCTAGCTCTTGGCTCAATCATTCTTTTTAATAGCTCCATAGCAGCCAGAAAATAAAGTATTCATGAAGATTGAAGAAGATGATCCCATGAACTTCAATTTAATTGGTGCAAATTAAAACGATCCATCTTTTCACGCTGCCCGTCTATCTCCAATCATCAGTGCACCGCACGTCCAGCACCCTGATTACAATTATCTTTTAATAGGAAAACTTGTCACTTTTTGTGTGATTTACATAAGCTTGCACAAACTTACTGGTATCACTTAGGGTTGGAATGTAGGATTTTTTTTTCCCCATTCAAGTCCCCTGATATAGTTGTGGGGGGGAGCAGGGGGCCCAGAGGTGAGGTGAGCTCTTGGCAGGGGGCTCATTTACTGCACTTAGAGCCTGGACTTGTACAAGAAGAATGCCAGAAAACAGCCTTCAATACATCTTCATTCACCAGACCTCCCCCCAAAGAGGCGCTAATGCAGCCAGATTTCATGGTGTCTTTGCAATGACCATTGCAATTACAATACAAAAACCTAGATGACATTTTGACTTTTAATTAGGAGGGAAATGATGCTGGTCCCTGCTGATGGCTCTCTCTCTCCCTCCAACTGCTCCTAGCACTCCCATCCTGAGAAGGTACCCTGCAGGGTTTAATAAGCCATCAAATCATAGTGGTGTGGGACGTATTCTCAAGAGTTCAAATAAAATTACCATAAATGCATGTTTACTGTTCCTGGCCTAGTGGCTGGGATCCGGCTGAGGGCCCTCCAGCCAGGAGCAGCGAAAAGCACCCACAGTATTAATTACTGTTACTATCATTATTACTATTTTCTTTGTGATGGCCACAATCCAACAGTGAGGACGCTGCAGAATGATTCATTGCCCGAAGCCATTTATGTATAATATGCTTCAATTTTGTTTCCTTATCTTTGAAAGGCAACCGTCCTTATCACAGATGGCTTCCATGCTTTAAGATGCTGTGAGATTTAGCTCTGTCTTCCTAGGCTGCGTTTTTTCTATGCAATGAAATAATGAGCATTGTTTAGCTATTGTCTGCGCATTCCCTGATAGCATTAACCCTAACTAAGGGGTGGGCAACCTGCAGAACAGCAGATGCAGCCTATGTACTCATGGTGATGGTACTGAGCCTGCTCACACCTCTAGTGAAGCACGTGGAGGGTTGTTTTTGACAAGCACTGATTTCCATCTCTCTCTTCTCCATCGCGATGGAGAATGGCTGAAAACACCTTTGTGCATAGCACACCGAGGTACCCGCAGAGGTTATCAGCTTGCCAGTATTAAACTTTTTAGCACATCCACTGCAAAGCAATTTGGAGGACTCCTTTGCTGGTGGAGTTCAAATGAAACTCATGGCTGATCTCATTAAGCACTTGTCTCATTTTGGTGCATGAATATTAAACAGGAACGTGTGTGAGCAGGATGCTACAGAAAGGAACATTTTTCCTGCTCAGCCGCAGCTGCAGCACTGCTGGACCAATATGCTGGGGGTCTGGTCCTGCCTTCCTGGTTGGGAAAGGTGTCCCCAGGCTGCTGCCCTTGCTTCAGATATTCACCATGCCCTGAGCTATTGCTGAGGAGGAGGAGGGTGGGCACTGTGATGGGGATGCAGTGCTGGGATGAAGGGATTTGAGGAGGCTGTGCCATGATAGAAGACATCCTTTGTGCCTTCCCCACACCAGGATGCTGCTGCTGAGGGTGAGGGCAGGGGCAGCTCAATGAGAAACAACCACGGGGCAGTGAAGTGGGGTTCAGCCCAGCTCCTCTCCCCAGGACACCCCACTTCCCAGCCAGCAGCTCCCCAGAGCCCCTCCAGATGCTGCTCCTCATGCAGCTTTCCCCATCAGTCTTTTATCACAGCAAACAACGCCGGTTGCTGTGACCCAAATAAACTCCAATCCACTTGATCTATCAGGGAAACATGCAGCGCTGACCTGCCATAAATCCCCGGGGCGGCAGGAGATGTGTCCCGCACCTACTCCCTCCTTGCCCTGGCCTGCCGCATACCTGCCGCGCTGCCCGGTAAGCAGGTAATCATGAGCTGCCACAGAAAGGTGACCCATTACCGTGATGGATTTGGTGTGAAAAACAAATGGACTGAGACCTGCGGATTGCTGTCCTTACTGCACCTTGGCCTTTTGTTCTGTCATATCAATATCCGCACCGGGCCTCATTACACGCGGCTCCCGCGCTGTGACGGGAGCGCAGGGTCAGCACCATGCACTGTGCTGGGCTGTGCTGGTGAACCTCACCCCAGGAGCACATCGTGCTGCCCTCTCCTCCACTGGAGCATCCTCAGCCTCGGAGGCTCCTGCACCACCATTCCCACTGCCTACCCCTCTGGCACCATTGCATTCACACATGCAGGGTCAGCACAGACATTGCATGAGCAGAGCAAATCTGGGATGTGATCTGGTTTATTCTGTTTTCTTCCCACCCTGGGGTCCCAGAGGATGGGTGGCAGGAGGGGTGCAGGACAGTTCAGCCGGGGAGCTCCCCGCATCGCAAAGCTCTGCTGTGTTTGCTCAGCATGGAAGACAAGAAGCTAAAATAAGGGAATTGTTTTGCACCAGATGCCAACTAAGCAATACAAACAATTCAATAGTACGTCAGCAGTGTATTTAAGTGCTGCTGAGCAGACTTGCTCTTTCCTTTCCCGGTGAGGCTCGGTCCTGTTGATGCTGAATGGGCTCAGTCTCACCACAACCTGCTGAATGAGGAGCCAGAGCTGAGCCATGCCCAATGGCAGCACATCCTAACTGCCCTCGAGCAGCATCCCGGGATCCTGCTGTAGCCAAGGGAGCTTAAGCCTTGCCGGAGAGCAAGAGGCGTAGGGACGTCTGCCATCGCTGCAGGGAGGAGGAGAAGGAGGGAGAGCCGGCAGAGCTGACCTTGAGGCTGCCTGAGACTGACCCTGAAGCAGTGAGATTCTCCATTCTGTGCACAGGCACTGTCATCTCTCACCTTGCAGAGAGCGCTCTCCTTGCCCATTTATCATCACAAATGTTTCTATTTAGGCTTATTTGTTTGTACAGTTAAGCCCTGTTACATTTACACCAAGAAGAAGGACAAATGGTGATTTTATCCAATGTTAGATCGTATCACTCCTTGCTACAACATTCACAGCATTAATAAGGATAAAGGGAGACTTTGGAGAAATCCAATAATACAGCACATGTGATAACAGCCCAGCGAAAGTGCTCTGGGGAGGGAGTGCAATTCCACAACGGAGACTGCTGTGGATGCTCCCTTTGTGAGCACCTCGCATTGTCTCACCAGGAAGGGATTTCTGAACTGTGGAATGTGGCAAACACAATTCCAGCAGCAAGGAGCATTGGTCTGCACACTGGAACCCTTCATTTCCTGGAAGATACCTTGCTTCTACACAAAGCACTGGGTGCCTCTAAGGTTCCCACCAGCACCCACCTGGTACAGAAATGGCCTCTTAATAAAGACGAAAGTGGTTTCAGAAATGTGCCAAAACTACGGCAAGTCTGGGAAAACAGAGCACAGGAAGACAGAGAACAGAACCTGGAGCGTCAGGATGCAAATCCATGGCTGAGCTCATGAGAGCAACTCTCAAGCAAGACCCCCAAAGAGGCCAGTGCCGAAAGCCCTGACCATCCCCAGGAACCCCATGGCACGCATTGCTGCCAGGCAGATGTCCCATCCCTGGCAGTGTTCAAGGCCAGGATGGACATGGCTTGGAGCAAGCTGCTCCAGTGGAAGGTGTCCCTGCCCATGGCAGGGGTTGGAGCTGGAGGAGCTTTAAGCTTCCAACCCAAACCATTCTGTGATTCTATAATTCTATGAAGCTGCAACTTTGCTTACCTGCAGTCACCTTGGTCCCAGTATGAAAAGGACCATGATGAACCTGTGTTGACATGTTAGCTTATTCATAGTAGGGACATAAGCACCTCTGTGCTCCTCTGTCCATCTGCAAGTTGCTCCTGGCACAGGAAAACTCACTACTCTACCCTGCCTGTGTCAGGAGCAGCATGTGTTAGACACCAGAGCCCACATGCACATGAGCCCAAACTCTTCTGATTGTTCCATCTGATGGAAAATTTCCTTGATGGAAAATTTCCTTGGGGATTGGCACCATTTCCCAGCGAAAACCCTACAGTGGATGCAAATCTATACCAGTAAAAACCCTTCCCTAATCCTGTGCTGCAGGAAGAACTTGCTCTGGCTGCTGTCCAGCTCAGGGGAGCATTCGGAACCATTCCTCCTGCCTCCCCCTTGCACAGCACTGGCTAGCAGGGGGGCAGCAGCCCCATGGTCCCTCCTGCGGGCGGCTGTGCCGGAGCACGCTGCTCCGGCTGCTCCTGCTAGCTTTGGCCGGGGAGTTCCTGCCTCAAACCAATCATCATTTACGTTATCCTTACAGGCGAGGGCACAGACCTTCAATCATTCTTCCTAGTTAGACACAATCATCAGCCAGATTTGTCTTGTTTAGCTGAAATACATACCCAGTAAGTACACAGCCCTGAAGATTGTCAGTGGATGTTGTGCTAATCCTGCAGCCAAGCCCTCTCGGTCCCTCTGTGGGTTTTTAAAGGGGCAGCTTTGGCTCGAAGTCCGCTCTCCTCCATGCCAACACACTTTCTAAGAACACAACTGCTGCTTCGGAGCAACTCCAGCCATTCCAGGAGCAAAAGACTGTGCCAACCCTCTGGCAAAGCGTGGGCCAAGCAACCTTTGCTGGCATCGCTTGCGAAGTGCTCATTCCTTAATTAGGATTCCAGACTAGCACCCACGTTTCCTGAACAGGGAAAGGGGGGATCTGCAGATCATCCACAGCCACAGGGACATGGGGAGGCTGAGCAGTGGGTGAGCACAATGAGCTGTAGCACCCATCGGTGCATCTGGAGCCATTGGGATGGGCTGTGGCAAGTCAGCACTGGCTGCTCTGGACCCCCCTTTGGCTTCAGCTGAGTCCTGCTGGCCACGGGCACTTCTCTTTTAATTCATTCTTAGTCTTCTTCGCTCCTGATTATGACACGCTTGCCCTGTCAAGATTCCCAGCCAGCCTTTATGGGAATGCCCGCGCTCCACGTAGGCATGGGTATGGAAAATCCAGCCCTGGCAGGGAGCGAGCACTGTCAGGCAGCTTCCAAGTCTCCTTCTCAAAGCACATATATTTTCTGTTTCTTTTATGATCAGCGAAAGATTCCTTTTGCATCTGCCAAGGAACTATTTTCACAAATAAGTACGTAAATCCTCTGTAAATGTATGCTAATTACTTATTTTAATTACAATGTAAATAAGTAATTACTGAATAATTTTAAAGTATTTACACAGTCTTGTGTGATTTAAAAGCTAACTTGTTGGAAGTGTAAAAACTATAAATTTTACAGTAATTATAGCAGAGTTTTTACACTGTGGCCAAGCACAATTTCAATGTGCTTCGTAAGAGATAAACAAATACGTAATTCTCCAGTAATTACTGCATAACAACAAAACTATTGCATGTTCCTTTCCTCCTGCTTAAATGAAAAATGCCCATCCACCAAACCAAATCCGAGTCGAGATTTTTCACGAGGATAATGAGTGTCCATCCATGTGATCCTGGGGAAGTTTTTAAGGGAGAAGAAAAGGAAAATCTAAAGGAGGTTTCTGAAGTGGGGGGAAGTGTAAAAGGAGGGAAATGGCACAAGGGAAATGCAGGGAGCAGCCTGCTGCTGGCACCCTCACCCCTTTCTGATCACTCAGGGCCTCTGGTGCTGATGGTCCTGGCTCTGCCAGATGTTTCTGCCAGATGTGGTGGGTCTGTTTCATGCCAAAGGTGCCGGTGCAGGGCTCTGGGGGCCCTCTCCATGCCTGGCCACTGGATCTCGGCTGCTGTTCCCTGAAAACGCTGATGCAGGAGCAGAGCTCGGCAGGAAATTGGCAATCAAAAGGTGAGTATATAAACAGTTAAATTATATTTCCTGTGGGGTATTTTTTATTAATTTCATTGCAATAATATGTTAAACACCAGCACTGTGAAAATTAGTGTTAATGAACATTAAATGTGTTGGACAATTTAAATGGTGTGTATATATCACCCCGCTTATTATTGGGATTGGCCCAGTGGTAATATCCTTTTATCGATCCTCTGCCTTTCTCCTTGTCTCTGTCCCTGTGGAAGTGGTCATGAAGGACACTGTAAGCACACAGCTATCAGAGACATAATCTTTTAGCACTTTAATAACACAGTGAGCAGCCATCACCCACCAGCCCTTAATAACTGTCTCCGTCAGCTCTTTTGAATTTGCAGATTACAGAGTCCTTCTAAATCTTCCCTGAAAAGGCCAGGAGCATTAATGAGCCTACCTGGGCCCCGCTGCTGGCTCCTCACGCTCCTCCCTCACCCTAGCAGGTCCTCCACACGCTGCCTCCTCCCCAAAATAGCTGTTGTACAGCCTATTTAGAGTGCGGAAGATGCAGGGATCTATATATAGATTTTGTATTCCAGGGTTGCAATGCTCTGCCCTGTGCCCATGCGCGCAGCTCGCCTCTAAGACCTGCTGTTAATTCGGTTTGCAGCCTAATACAGATTTAAGAGAGCGGGTGTGGGTGGGGGTTAGCTGCCGTGGGCTCATTAAGGCTGAAGATAGATTTCTCTGTAGCACACGTGCACGTGTGAGGTGTTTCTTCAGGGATGCTGCGCTCGGCTCTGGCTGCTGCAGCGATGAGAGCCCGCGCGCACGTGAACCTGCTCCAAGGCTTCTCCTTCCATGACATTGCCTGCGATCAGGATGCTCCCTCTGGAGAAGATGTCCCCCCATTGCTGTCACTTCAGTTCCTAAGCCAGGAGTGCTTTAAAGTCCTGCAGTGCTGTGGTTAAGGCTGCCCATTCAGCCCAGGTCCTCACCTTCTGCATGATGCTGTTCAGGCATTCCTACACAGAATGGTTTGGACTTGAAGGGACCTTGAAGCTCATCCAGCTCCAACCCCTGCCATGGGCAGGGACACCTTCCACTGGAGCAGCTTGCTCCAAGCCCCTGTGTCCATCCTGGCCTTGAGCACTGCCAAGGATTGGGCATCCATGTACACCTAACCCCTGTTTATTTAAAGCCATATAAACCCCACTCCATGCTCAGAGAGCTTATTCTATCTGGTCAGATATTTTCTCTTCAGCCA